GAAACAAGTTATTTGCCCCCCCCCCCCATTTCTCTGGGTTACCTTCATCCAACATTTATCTAGTCTAGAGATTGTTAGAGCCTCTAAGATCTATTCTCAGGTCACCTAAAATCTGCCAGTCATCTCTTCTTGCCTTGCGCTGGGGCAGACAGAGGCAGTCGCCCCACCCCCACCCCCACCCCAGAGAGCCACGGCTGTGTGTGAATTCCTCCCCTTCCACTGCTCCTGAGGAAACCGGAAGCTCAGAGATTTCTCCTGGTGTACACAAGGCCGCACCTATCCACGCCTACTGAGTGCGATGATCTGTGGCTTCAGTGTCTTTCAGTCCTGTCTCCTAATCATGCCCAAGACTTTTCTCAAGAACAGAGCATAGAACACCCCTTCCCGAGGTGGAAAGTCCTGGAACAGTGTGGCCTTGACAGGTCACACTGAAGGTGAGCGTGATGGTCAAAACTCCCTTCGTGGTGGGCATAAGCAAGGCCCGGCTGCTAACCAGAGCCAAAGTATCACTGCTAATAGAACCAACAACGGGAAATGTTAGAAAAAAGCTCACATCTGGCCAGTTTAGCTTTGATGGGCCATGTTTGGAGAAGGAAATAACCACAGCGGCTTTTGCAACATACTCTTCCTCTAAAACGGAATTTCAGGAATCTATAACAGGACCCCAGTCCCTTTAGCTAATAATTTGAACAATGTGTCATTGGGATCAGATCACCTTCCACTCAAGCATTTCTGTAGACAAGAGATTCAGAAACAGGGGAGAGTTCTCAGCCTGCCGTCAGCACACCGGGTCTTTCCTGTGTCCAGATAAACAACCGTAATAAACATGGGACATTTGTTACACACCCATTATCAGTTCACCAAAACTCAGATGGAGGGGGTTAGAGAGATGGCTCAGAAGTTAAGAGCACTTGCTGCTCTTCCAGAAGACTGGGGTTTGATTCCCAGCACCCACATAGTTGTGGTGATATATTGTGAACCCCTAAAAACTTACCTGAGGATCAAAGGACAGAGCCAGGCACTAGATTAGACATAGAGATCAGGCAGTGGTGGCACACACCCTTAATCCTAGCACTCAGGAGGCAGAGATCCGTCTGGATCTCTGTGAGTTCAAGGCCACACTGGGAACAGATCCAAGCATGGTGGCGCACACCTTTAATCCCAAGATTCATGTTACACATAATGGTTCACAACTGTCTGTAACTCCAGTTCCCGGGGACCTGACGCCCCCTTCTGGCCCCCTTAGGCACTACATGATCATGGTGCACAGACATACGTGCAGTCGGAACACCCACACACATAAAAACAAAAAATTAATAATGATGTGGATTCTCCAAGATATGGATACTCAGGAAATCCAATACACATGCAAAGAAAACAGGAAAGCTTTAATTAATGGATCTAATCTAAATAATTGCAAGAATATTTATATTGCAAAGGATACTTATCAATGTAACAGAATCTATAACAACTTTGACAACAGCCCAAATCCTACTAAATATCAGTACACTATTTTTCAAAGAAACTCTACAGAAAAAAATCTTTCATCAACCATCAAAACTTATTATTTTTTTTTTTTTTTTTTTTTTGGTTTTTCGAGACAGGGTTTCTCTGTGTAGCTTTGCGCCTTTCCTGGAACTCACTTGGTAGCCCAGGCTGGCCTTGAACTCACAAAGATCCGCCTGCCTCTGCCTCCCGAGTGCTGGGATTAAAGGCGTGCGCCACCACCGCCCGGCGAACTTATTATTTTTTAATGTGCTCACACTCAGGGTCAGCCTTGCAAGAGGGTAGACTGGGACAAAGCTTTTGTTTCAAAGTTCAAACCTACTAAGAGTTCACGCTAGACAGAACCAGACAAATGCGAGGTATGTGGCCAAGTCCCTGACTGGTGTTCAGCGCTTACAAGACAGCAGAGAATCCACACACAGAGAAACCCTACAGAGGAAAAGAACGTGGCAAAGTCACTAGTCATGGCTCAACCCTTACTCAATATCAGAGAATTAAAATGGAGAGAAGCCGTACAGATGCAAAGGATGTGATAACCTTTTACCTGCTGGACAAGCCTTAGACAACAGAGTTCACAGGGGAGAGAAACCCTATGAATGTAGTGAGTGTGCAAAGCTTTGCTCACACTCATAACATCATAAACAACATAAAATCCATAGTGGAGAGAGACGCCACAGGTGTAAAACATGTGGAAAACCTTTAACCACAGTTCAAGCCTTAGAAAATACAAGAAAACTCACCTAGTGAGGAACCCTACAAATTTAAAGAATTTGGCATTTTTTTTTATTTTTATGTTTTATTTTACTGTGTGTGGTGTGTGTGTATGTGTATGTATGTTTTGAGCACATACCACATGTGTCTGGATGATGGATGAGGCCAGAAGAGGGAGACAGATGTCCTTGGAGCTTGAGTTACAGACAGTTGTGAGCTACCTGATGTGGGTGCTGGGAATCAAACCCAGGTCCTCTAGAAGAACAGCAACTGTTCTTAACCACTGAGCCATCTCTACAGCCTATGGCAAAGGTTTTTAATATTGTTCATGCTTTATTAAACACCAAAGAGTCCACACAAGAGAGAGACTCCACAGATGTAAAGAATGTGAAAATCTAGACAGACAGTAGTGATGCAGGCCTTCAATCCCAGCACTTGGGAGACAGAGGCAGGTGGATGTCTGAGTTTGAGGCCAGCCTGGTCTACAGAGCAAGTTCCAGGACAGTCAAGGCTATACAGAGAAACCTTGTCTCAAAATGAGAGAATGTGAAAATCCTTTAGCTAGTGTTCAGTCCTTAGCAAACATCGGAGTTCAGGCTGGAGGCAACCCCACAAGTGTTAAGAATGTTGCAAGTGTTGAAGTTTTACAGAACATCACAGGATTTGTACTGGAGAGGACTCTACAAACGGGAGGAGTGTGGCAACACCTTTAACAAAAGTGTAAACCTTCTGACATCGCAGTTCATTCTGGAAAGAATTCTCATAGCTATACTGACTGTAAAGGCGTCTTTGGGACTGGAGAGATGACTCCTTGGTTTAGAGACACCAGCTGCTCTTCCAGAGGACCAGGATTTGATTCCCAGCACCCACATAGTGCCTCACCTTGGGAGACCTGATGCCCTCTTCTGGCCTCTGAGGGCACTGCACAAACATGGTTCACAGACATACATGCAGACAAAACATCCATTCACAAAATATTTTTTAGTGAAAAAATAAAAAGACTTTGGTTTCAAATGCACACATGAAAGAAAAGTAAATATATATTTATAAGACAAAATACTTATTCAAAGATGTAAGGAGTATGGCGAGCCTTTGCTCACACTTCAGACCCTAAGCTAACAGCTACTGGAGATGAAACGCATACATGCAGGAATATGGACACTTTGTTACAGTACTAACCTGCTAGATAAGCCTCACCTGCTGGTTAAGCACTCTACCTGAGAGCCACATCCCCAGCCCAGAAAAACCTTTACCGCTTAAACTTTTCCAGCTACCATGAGTTGCCATGGAAATAGATCATCACAGACATCAGACAATTATGCAGACGCTCACCTCTAAAATGACTGTGTTATGTATCTCAGGTTACTCGATATCCTCCCTCTTGGACCCTGGAGGAAAACACTCTCACATGGATCTTTATAACCAAACAAGAGCCATTCCTGAGAATTTGTCATCTCTATACGACAGAGACCAGACAGTGGATTCTGAAATGCTTTATTCAGGTTATGTACATTTTCATTAAATAAAAACGAATCTTTCCTCTTTGGGTTTTTTTGTTTGGTTGGTTTGTCTTTGTTGTTGTTTGGTTTTGGTTTTTGTTCTGTTTTGGGAATATCTGTTTTTGTTGTTGTTTGGTTTGGGGTTTTTTTATTTGGCTTTGTTTTTTATTTATTTATTTATTTATTTTGCTTTTTCAAGACAGGGTTTATTTGTGTAGCCCCAGCTGTCCTGGAACTCGCTCCAGGCCTTGAACTCAGAGATGCCCCTGCCCCTGCTTCCCAGGTGCTGGGATTAAGGTGTGCTCCCACTATGACTAGCAAAGTGACTCTTTCTAATGAGCTGTTACTTCTGTATTTTGAGTGGACTGCCGCAGATATTAAGCTTTTCCATCTTTCTTCAAGCTTCTAAGTAACAGATGCTAATCACACACCCAGGCAAATGGTGTCATGGCTGCCTAGTAACCATTGCCAGCATTAGTTACTATACTTGGAAATAATCAGTGACAATTACTTCCATCAACAGCATCTTACTTCTTTTTGTAAGAGCTGCGATGGTCGTGGGAACGATGTTACAGGAATGTAATAAAAAGCCCCAGAGTCCAGAATCTTAAACAGCCTTTTGTGAAATTAGTCTTTAATTGTTTTCACAGGTCATTCCATGACCTACAAAACACACAAACTTTAGTTGGAGGATAGCCTGATCTACAAAGTGAGTTCCAGGACAGCCAGAGCTATACAGGTAAACCCTGTCTCAAAAAACCAAAAAAATAAAAAGAAGAAAAGAATGGTAAAGACCAGAATAGTATTTATGTAGGTGTATATACTGTGTCTCTACAAAAAGGGTAATTATTGAAATGAAAGATACATTTAAAAATAAAATTTAAAAGATAAAATTTTAAATCTCCTCTTAGAAATTTTTATTCCACTGAAGTACTTATTCTAAATAACCCGATCCTTGTTTTAAAATCTCTGCATGCCAGCACAGGTGAGGCGGGGAACCGAACTTGAGGGGATTCCAGCTTCTCTCAGTTCTGAGTAGAGGCCCTCATGCCATGCATGAGCCTGTGAGCCAACACTTTCTCTGGGGTCAGCGTTGTGTGCCGCCCTCCCGGAACACCAGCTCTGACCCTACAACACTGCCCCGTGCCCGCCCACCCCCACCCCCCGTGCCCCCCCACCCACCCCCCGTGCCTGCCCGCTCCCCGTGCCCGCCCGCTCCCCGTGCCCGCCCGCTCCCCGAGCCCACCCACCCACTCCCTGTGCCCGCCCACTCCCGGAGCCCACCGTGCAGGAGTTTGGCTATCCCTTGCACACTGTTCTGGCCTCAGACATCATCTTCACAGTTCACACCATTGTTTCCATGCTTACCCTTTAAAAAACCTCCAAGTATCAGGAGGACTCCTGAAGGGTCAGTGCCTTCAGGCCCCAAATCTGTACAAACTTATCCACCCGCTCAGCCTAAGTTTCTGCCCACTGGATCACAATCTCTGCTTGCACGCAAGGGTCTGAGGCAGACTCTGCCAGCCACTGGGGTAGGCAGCATCTAGTCTCAGTATGGAAGAGGTTGTTCAGAAGGAAGAATGTGAAGCAAGACTTGAAACCAACCTTCCCCCCAAGAGAAGCATGGCCTTCTTGGCATCTCCATTCCAGGCCCCTGAACTTCAGAGAAAATGAATCTATAGTAGTAGCCACCCGGTCCCTGGCACTCTGTTAGGGCAGGCCTAGGAAAGTAGCAGTCAGATTCTGTCTACCCATCCTTCCCTCTGGACCGCCCCACAAGGCAGCGGGGTATCGGTGCCCCTCACAGGCCACAGCTGCTGAGGAACAGTCTCCATCGAGTGGCCCTGGCTTCAGTTTTCCTCCTAGGAACAGCAGAAGGCTGGGGGCAGGAGGGCGTGTGGCGGTTTGAATGAGAACGTCCCCATAGGCTCAGACATTTGAACACTTGGTCCTCATTTGGTGGCATGGTTTGGAGAGGTTGTGGAACCTTCAGGAGGTGGAGCCTTGCTTGGCGAATAAAAGGTCGCTTCCGCTCTGCTTCATGCTTTTGGTTAAGATGTGAGCTCTCGGCTCCCTGCTCCTGCCGCTGTGCCAGCCACTAACCGCCACTCACCGCCACGCCTCTGCACCGCGATGTATTCCCATCCCTCTGGAACCTCAAAATAAATTCTTTCTTCTGTAAGTCACTTTTGGCCGTGGTGGCTTACCACAGCAACAGAAAAGTAATTCATACAGATGGGTGAGACTTCTTTGAACCATTCAGTGGGGCTCCATCCTGCTGACCTCAGAGATGGACAACCCCACTTCCTCAAAGCTCCGCCATTCTCCCCAACCCCAGCAGCCACCCACAGTCTGGAACAGTCAAAAACATCACTTTCAGTCTTAGTGGGGAAGGCACTTCAGGAAGGGACAGAAAAAGGACACACTTCACCTGTTCACGTTGTCTCAGCGGCGTCCCCTTGGCCCAGGCTAACCCTGTCACGCCCTGTTTTCAGGACCGGGACAAAGCCAGAAAGAGGGAGAGGGAAGCCTGATGCTGAGGTACTGAGTGTGGAGGCCTCCCCGCCACAGGGCCGAGCAGAGCGGTGAGGTACAGCCCTGCTGCTGCTTCCATCTGTCACACAGCCTCTGACCAATGCACGGCTGGCTGCCTCCTCTCTGGAGTCCCACACCCACCTGAGGGTCAGTCCCAGAATCTTTAGTTCACCTCCCAAAACAGAAATGGTGCATCCAGCTGAGGCTGAGTCTGGTGCCGTCCGAGGGGAAAGAGAGGAAAATGCTCACATTCCTCGGTAGGTGTCAGGCCCTGCTGGACACAGGAAAGGCCACAGGCTGGGCCTGTGTGAGCCCAGGGCTCTGGGTGTGTTCTGGCAATGCTGAGGGGTGGCCCTCCTCACAACAGTCCAAGATGCAATAGTTGCTGCCTCCTCCGTCTGAGTCTAGACGAGGGGGCCTGACAGAGCCCACAGGGGCCCAGACCTCCTGGGGCAGGTAGGCAGATGGCTGTCCTTCCAACTCCAGACACCCTGATGGCAGCACATGCTCTAAGCTTGGGGGCCCTGGGAAGCCAGGGCCTGTGCCTTCCCACTCCAGGCTGGAAAATGGCGCAGGGCATGCTGGACTGTAGGTGAGCGTTGTGATGGCCTCCCAGATGCTGGACTCTGAGCCTCCTGATGGAGTGCTGACACCACTCTGTCTTGGTTGTGGTCCGGCTCTATGGGTCCAGGTCTGCATCAGAGCAGGGGGTAGGAGAAAGGCTCGGGCAGCATGTTCGGGACTCACTCTGGGAGCAGCAGCCTCCCCCTGCACAGCCCAGATCTTCTTCTCCAGGAAGCGCTACCATGCACTCCCAGAGCCAAGCAGGGCCGGTGCCCAACGCACTCGACCCTCCTCCCACGTGTGAAACGCTGAGTTGTTTTAGACCCCCCAGTGCCCCCCTCAGCTGAGGCCACGGGCTTATGGCAGCCTGAACCAGGAGCCAAAAGAATGGGAAAGCTGTGACAGGCGCCAAAGACAAAACAAAGCCATGCCAGAATGCTCTCCGGGGCCATCCAACAGAGACAGATATGGGCACCCCCTAAATGCAGCGACACACAAATCTAGAGACACAGTCTGGAGCCTCCGTGGAGCAACAGGAGGGATGGGCCTCCCAAAAAAATGCTGTCTCTCAGAGGGACTAGGAGCCTCCACAAAATGCCCCCCGTATCTATCTCACAGTCCATCACTGCTGTGCTCCGGAAAGATGACCCGAATCATCATCCCATAAATACAGCAAAATATGTGCCCATTAGAGATGGGGTACAAATGTAAGTCAACTATATATACAAAAGAGGCTCAGAGCATAGACAAGGCCCCCACACTTGCTAATGCCCCCTAGTCTAAGGAGCCCAAACTCTGCTCCACAGGGCAGACTTCTAGGCCATATCTGTCCCTGTAGTGCCACGCTTGACCCCGCCTCCCTGACGCTCCCCTGCACACACCTGGAAGTCCCCGTTGTACACACTGTAGAGAGGATGGAAGAAGGCTGCCGGGGAGGGGACATTCTGGTAGATGATCCTCTTCACCCTGTGTGGAGACCCACAGAGGTTTCCTAGTGAGATCTGAGCTTGCCTTACCCAGCAGGGCTGCACAGGGGAATGATTGGACCATGGGCGTTGTTACCAGGTGTGTGTGGAGGGGTCTGCACTTGGCTCTGCGGTATGCTTTGATCTAACGAGGGGGAGGTCTTTTGCCACGCCCCTTGGCATTCTTATAAAAGGCCCTTTTGAAGAGCCAGACGGGGTCGGTGGATTTTGATCCAGGCCCTCCCAAAACTATCCTGTGTTTCTGTCTCCTCTCTGCTATCTTTCTATCTGAAAGTTTCTTATTCCTCTCTCCTCCTCATAGGAACCCTTTTAAAAGGTGGGAGCTGGCCTCCCACAGATGGTGTCCTGAACAGGGACTTAAGTTCAGGGACCCCCACAACCCTGAAGCCAAAATAGAAAAGTCAGGACCAAAGGGACCCAGATAGAAGCCTTTCCCAACGTGACACCCCAGAAAGCTTAAGGTCACTGCCAAGACTGGAACTCCTTTCTCCCTACAGATGCCAGCCCCTACATCCAACCTGGCCTCAAAGAGCTACGAGGCACAGCAACACATGCCTATCATTTCATCCTAGCCTCCGTAAATAAATAAAACCTCTGGACAAATCCCAGAACAGGAGCCCATGTGGATCACTGCAGCCTCTCTGGTTAACGCCCATATTTACACCATGGCCTGTGTCCTTTGCAGACTGGTCTCCAATGGTGGGTTCAGGGCCTGGAAGCAACCAGCTGTGCCCTCTCAGATGAAGCTAATAGCTCCAGGAATAACATCTGTGCCATCAACAGGCAGCTGTGGTTCCCCAGTCTCACACACACATGTATTAAAACCCGTGTACCCCAGCACACTTACATGCATGCCCACAATTCTCATTCTCTCTTTCTCTCTCTCTCTCTCTCTCTCTCTCTCTCTCTCTCTCTCTCTCTCTCTCTCAC